TAGAGTGTTTCTTTCTTGCTTAGTAAACACTAAACTAGTAATTTAGTTAAGTATTTCTACTGCCCAAAGAAATCTGGCTTCAAATAGAGGGTGAGTACGAGCAGCTATGAAGCGAACATGACGCATTCGATCTTATCAACTGGCATGCAAATTCTATATTACTGGCATGTGTTTCCTCATTACAATAAGAGTCACATGCCAATAACTGGCATACAAGTTGTTGTTACGTACTAGATAGCGACCAAGATATCTATAATCCAACTAAATTGTCAAATTCACACAAACGTAGTAACGTCTGACACGAAAACTCGCTATTCTGTATCGATCTTGGCCGTTCGTGGCCAATAAAAGTCGTTGGCAGTGTGGTATAAAATATTAACGGGCACTGCCCACCCTACAGCGTCAGTGTCGTAAATATACCAGCGTAATGTGACGTGGTGAGGCGATACTATCGAGGTAACGTTGCCGACGGATGATGTTATTGATTTTAAAAAAGCTGTTTTTGTTTTGATGCATTTGCTGACCAAGTTTCTTTTATGAACAAATTTAGAATGTTTTTTTATTAACAACTTTTCTCAACAATTTCGAATTACTAGACCTTTTATGAACTACCTCTTTTTAATAAAAACATGATAACTGAAATTGTAACCTTAAATTTCGTAGCACAAATAAAAGTATCGTTTCCATTTTTAAGTAATGAAAATTACTTCATACGATAATTTTAAGAGAGTGCGTGCACACACCTTCGACTAAACTATCGCAAAACTATTTAGTCACGCTGCGATTCCTATGAGCTGATATGGAGGTGTACACTACTCGATTTTTAGTTGTGCAACTAAACAGTTGAATTGGCTGCGAAACAATCGACTATCGACAAACACACAATAATTGTGTAGTCAAAGGTGTGCACCCGCTGTGTTTCTGATCCTTATTCTCTTATAAATATATGTAAAACCAGTAAAAAAAATCAAAACTCATTTTGTAACAAACATTAAATCCATAGTAACTTACAGTAATATTATCCTGAAATAAAAAAGATTCAAACTACAATAAAAATAAAGCCACATTACAATACAAGCACAATTTAAATACAATAAAACAGTATACAATCTAGAAAGTTCTTTATAATTCAAATAAAATTGCATCTCGTGTCCCGTTTCAATGTGGCTAGAGATGGCTCTAGAACTTCGACAATAAAAACGTAAAAGTTGTAATTGAATAAGACTCGAAGCATGAGGCTTAGTGTACACTTCTGGCACGGGAAATGGGATGTTTTCATTATTAGTATACTTTATAAGTTTAACTGCCACAATGAGTTGTACTCAGAGACTTTTAATGGTTATTCAAATAGTATGTCATACTAAATCTAATAAGGGTCTCTTAAAGGACGAAAGTATATTTTTGATGTTTTTTTAAAATCTATTCTGGGAATGTATATTAACTAGCTTTCGTCCGTAACTTCGTCTGTGTGTGGAATTTTAAAAAGGAGTAAGTCTATGTGTTATTGATACATACATAGTCTGTATGCTAAATTTTATCCAAATCCGTTCAGCCGTTTAGACTAAAACATCCATCCATCCATCTAAACTTTCGCATTTTTAATATTGTAATAAGACTTGATGTAATATTCCAAACAAAATTAAATATACACAAAGTATTATACACTTAGTAATTTTCAGACAGCCAGACTACAAATGGTTAGTGATGTTCATAAACAATGTTATCGATACACGAGAGAACTTGCAAAATAATTAGCGCGGTACGTTATCGACATTATGGCGTCGAGACTGCACTCAAGTGATACTGCAGAGGTAGGGCTGTATTTGCACTGCTGAAGGTAATTTATCGATAAATTGGTAAAAACTTATTTCTATGTTAACGGTTTTGACATGATTATGATATCTGAGTCAAGTGACACAAGACATTTAATACCCTGCAAAAGGTACAAAAAAAAGGTACAAAAGGTACAAAAATCTCTGATTAAACATTCCTAGATTTTCAACACTATAGTTATATTCTAAGTTTTAAAGCAATATCAAAATAATAATACGGAACAAAAATGTGTGTAAAGCATAATAAAATATCGATAACCACGAAGTACTTCCCTATTTTCTAGCAATGCTATAATTTTCGTACAAAATACAGCACTTACCCGCCGGTTACTTTCGATACTGGCCCGTTCCGACTTGCGTGTATACATGGTGTTCAAAAATCAGAAGCAAAAAAAAAATCATCTGACTAATACTATACAGAAAGTTAGTTAAAAATATAAGTTCTTATTCCATAAATCTAAGGGCAAAATATTCCGTACGTTAATTAGCTTTAGTAATATTTGATAAGCAATTTGCAATCAAAACTTATTTTTATTTAGTATTTAATACTTTATTACTGTTATTAACTATTACATGACGTAATATAAAGTAATAATTGAAAGAAATATTTTTTTTCAGCTAATTAGAATTAATGAAAAACCAAACATCCTGTATTAAGTAATGAGTAAGCACGTACAGATGCGAATGTATATTTAAATTTGATACTCGGCCTCGGAGCGCGCAAATGTATATCGCATCTATTATACATAGACGTCTGTTTGTATGTACGTTTATGCTACACCTGAACGTCTGGCGGGCGCTTTACTACGTGACGCGAATTCCGCCGCGGATAAAGTGATTCCTAGCTAAGGTTTGGGCGGGAAAAAAATCTGTTAAGTTTTCCCTTAATTCTAAAGCGAAATAATTTTCCGGTATCGACTAAATGTTTGGTTTAAATATTCAGCATTGTTTTAAAATTTATTGTCGTTGAAAGTTTTTTGCAAGATTCGTGTTTGGAAGAAATACTAGGGCCACATAAAATGTTGGGGTAAATGGTTTCCGACCTTACTAATATTATAAATGCGAAAGTTTAGATAAGTGTAGATGGATGGATATTTGTTAGAGTTTGTAGCCTAAACGTTTGAATGGATGTCATTGAAATTCGGCATAGATGTAGAGGATAGTCTGGAAGAACACATAGGCTACTCAGTTTTGATTTTTAATTTCACGAGGACAGAGGTAGAGCATATTCTGGAAAAACACGTAAGCTACTTACATTTTTAATTACACGCGGACTGCGTCGCGGGCATAAGTTCTGACAGTTTCAACTGAACAGTTCGATTGGTCAGTTACATCTAAACGTATGTAGCTGTAAAGTCATTAATTCTAAGATTTTTTATACAAAGGATTGTGTCGAAGTACCAGGGTCCCATAGATTGGTGGTAAAGCGTCCACTCTTTTACCAAAAGTTAGTTCATATCTTTGATACTTGGTACAATATTGTATTTGATCAGTAAATACGTGAACATGAAGTAATTTTACGGCGTCCTCTGAGAGAAAATAAACATAAATAACGCCAACGTCTCACCGAGTTAGCGTGACAACTGAATATAAACAATTTTATTGCTCCAGTTTAGATGGCATTCGAAAACTCGAAAGTATACTAGCTTTTGCCAGCGATTCCACGAGTGAAATTAAAAAAACGTAAATAGCCTATGTGTTCTTCCAGACTATGTTCTACAGTTGTGCCAAATTTTATCGAGATCTGTACAGCAGTTTAGGCTACAAACTCTAACAAACATCCATCCATCTAAACTTTTACATTTATAATATTAATATGAACAGTAATATTTCTTATCATCAAAGAGAAATGAGAACAGGAATTTTTAAGACTATAGAAAAAAATACTTTTTACCGACGACACAACAAATTATTAAAACAAATACTCCATTAAGAAAAAAACAACATCATTATAATAAAAACATTTCCGGTTACACCGCGATACAATTATGCTTCAAGAGTACCATTACAATATATACCGTAGGCTTTCACTGTAGATAGTTACACTAATACAAAAACATCCCTCTTATTCTCATCCAAACAGTTGAAACAACAATATCTTTTAACGCTTACATCTCAGCAATAGAAACCTACCGTAACATCGTCTCCCCAGATGCAATAAAGTGCAATAACGTAAAAGCATGCGCTATTACAACTAAATATTTCAACTCGCCGTCTGTGCTGGAAACGAGTCATAAAATGCAGGCAAACATATTATTAACTATGTTTCGTCTAAGCGGTTATAAAATATGGACAAGAAACCTGTGCGACATGAAGAAACATTTGTTAACTTCTAGCTCCTTACAGGATACGTCTTTGAGAATATTTAGATAAAAACTCACAGTAAAATGGTCAAAAATAGTCGATCCCATATTTTATAAATACTAAGCAATTAAAGGACTTGATCTTTACTATTATAATAAAGCGTAAACACACACTTCTTTGTTTGCCTAAGGTGTCAGCAATTACAGCATGTTTTCGAACAAATCTTTTATTAATAAAAAGCCCTACACTTACGTCACGCTTTAGGCTATACATACGTCGTTAAACTTAGAGGCAAATGTTTTAGATAAAAACTCTAATATGGGAAAGAGACCATAAGTTGTTGCCAACATCAAGGAAGCAAGGTTGCCATGGTTTGACACCATGTCGTGTCATTTTGACATTTGCAATTGATAATTTAACAAATGAAAATAAAGTGAAATTTTTATAATTTTATGCGGATGAAGTCGCATGAGAACTGCTAGTATTTTATGAACGCAAAGCAATTAAAGGACTTGATTCTATTATATGTTAGTATTTAATAAGTATTAAATAATTACCTTCAAAATAATAATTAAGGTGGCGAAGACACACTGTTTTTCTTTCATCTGTCCTTTAAGAACTGCAATAAACTGTTAATCGACTATAGTAAGGAATAAGACTCAAATATATTAAAAAAATACATTTATTACAATATCCTGAAAGTAAATCCTATCATAAAACAAACGTTTGTAAACTGTTACAAATACGCATGCAATTAAACTGTGCAGCCTATGTTAAAATTACAATTCAAACAAATTAAACTATCGACAATCCTAAACGAATAATGAAAAACCGTACAAGTCTACTGACCTAACATTTAAACCACTGACCTCTATTTTCCACTGGACATTTGTAACTCTTATATTTGGTTGTAGAAACTCGAATTTATAGATGGAATTAGAAGACAGACCTATCCAGTACATAAATAAGATCTAAAATTAAATACCAGTGTCTCTTTTATTTTAAAATAAGTGAAAGAGATGACTATATATTTAACACAATTAAAATGTGATTCAATGAATTTTATGCCTTAACAGTTGCAGTTTTAGGTTCAAATTTGCGATGTGTTGTTGATTTATTTTCCGCTGTCTCCTTGTCTGATTTTTGTTTCTTTTTCCTAACTCCTTCAGTAACAACCATAGAGTCTATTTGATTCATTGTAGTCTTCGTTCGTTTAGTTTCCGATGTTTTTGTGAATTTATTGATTCTCTTTGCGGGCGTTTCTTTCCTTCGCGTTTGTGTTTTGTTTGGGCCCTTCTTTTGTGAGATGTATCTCTTGAAGCGAGCTGGTGTGTTACGTTTTCTATACATTTTTAACATATCTAAGGATGTCTGGAATTTCAAATTAATTTAGTATAATTAAAGTATAAAAATTCGAAATAATAAATAGATCTTTTAATACTTACACCCAAATCGATAGGAGTCGATAATATTTTTAAAAGAAAGTTTCTTTGGTTTTCCAAATATTCTCTGATGCCAAGTAACTTAGTCTGAAATAGTTTTAAAACTTGATTAAAATGAGAAAACGTACCAATTATGAAAACATTATTATCGATGTTTATAAACGAATAACTTTCGCCCGAGACTCCGTTCGCGTGGAATGAAAAAAAAAAACATAAGTGAGTAGCCTTTGCGTTCTTTCAGACTATCCTCTATATCTATGTCAATTTTCATCGAGATCCGTTTAGCAGTTTAAGCTACAAACTCTAACAAACATCCATCCATCTAAACTTTCACATTTATATTATTAGTAAGATTAGTAAAATTATTCTGTAATAATATTCTCTCTGCTTCATAAATATGTAGATATTTGGATCCCTTTTCCATATTTTAAAAGCAATGCACCAAACACACTGTAAATTTTCTAACAAAATCTTAACTTACCTTTTCTTCATAAGACAATTCGTCATATAAACGTAAAAGTTCTCGCACCGATTGAAGAATATTCAAACATTCAGATTTAGGATCTGTCTCTTCTTTTAATATCGAATCAGCTATTTCTCCTAATGGTGATTCTGTTAACAAACAAATATTCATATACTCTTTACTTCTAGCATGTTTTCTTTCTAATTCTTTTCCCTTCCCTACAATTATACCACTGCAATGAGTAATGAGTAAAAGTAAAGTGAGCTATTAAAGTCTGACCAATGACTTCGTAAGACGATAGGAAGATGCTGTAGATAAAACGCGAAGGCTTGTTTACTACGGGAGGCAACCAGTAGTGTCTCCAGTAGTTGATGAACATACAGACAAATTGAATACCTCCTTCAATTATTTTACATATAACACCTGCGGTTACGTGTACCCGACTACGCGGTACAGTTGCGCCGTCACCCGTATCTTTTTCTGGAGCCGTTTACGCGAATAGATTTAATGAAAAATGCCCCAATGTCGCGCGCCATACGTCTGCTCAATATCATTTCTGAATATATAGATATCTTTAGTTGTAATGAGTCGAAATTCACAGAGGCTGCATACAGATGTGTGGAGGGCGAGGCAAATGGTGGTATTTAGATATATGTTGTTATATTCTTCTTTTTTATTTCTGTGTACAATTTGATTTTTTTTTCTTCATTATCAGTTGTTTATTGTATTTTTAACTTAAAATATTATGTATTATCACATATGTAGATATATTCTCGTTATTAAATAAATAAATAAAAATCTTTTGGGAAGTCAGTCAATGAAGTCATTAGTAAAGATAAGTACCTACATGTGGATTCTTATATCTTCAACCTTGTTATAAATTAACTAATATTACTCACCAGTAGTTTTATATTGTTTAGTTTCGTTTAAAGGTGAGGCAATTAGTATCATGTCGAATCTTGTGTCCTTACTCTCATCAGAACCTGGAGGTGATGTCAGCCACTGCAGGAAATCAGAGAGATCTTGCGGCAGCTCTGGAAAATAGAAAAACTCCTTCACAACTCAGCATTTACTTGAAGATAGACTAAAAAGATTTTGTTCTACATTTCTGTAGTTTATAAACAAAAAAGCTAGTCTAAATACTCCTCATGATAATGACAAGTATGATGCCAAATTAATCAAAAATATACAAACTAGAGCACGTCTTCTGCTGCACTTGGAAGTCGACGAGGTCGGTCATCAGTTTCACGAGCTGCTGCATCAGAGACGTCGCCACAACCTCCTCGCCACCCTCACTCTCACGGACTTTACAAGTAATTAAATAAAAACAAATTAACTGACAATTAATCCATAACAATACAATGAGCAATAACAAAAAAATACAGGCATGACGTACAGTACTTAAGACAAAATAATTAAATTGTAATTTAATAAAAATGTAATGAGCGTTGCAATGCTGACCGGATTGGATCCACGCTCAGCATTGAATACTGGGCGCTACTTACTGAGGTACCAGCCGCCGATCTTCCGCAAGAACTTTGGGACTATCCGTATGCCATTACTATTACTATAGGTATTTTACATATAACACTCTTACTGTTTATATTTCTAGTTTTTTCTACGGCTTTAGCTGCTTCGTGACATATTTGCTTCATTTTAGCTGTCATAGAAGCGAAGTTTAAATAATTTTCACTTTCATCATCCTGGAACAAATATGATTAAATACTCTTCACTAAAATCATCATCATCATCATCTTTTCTACTCGAATTCCTCATCCGGGTTCTTAATAGTGTTGTCTTTCAGTTAATTCTTTGAGGGACTGTCGTTGATTCAGAAACTTGCCTTAAATTTTAATTCCATTACTTACCTCATATTTCTTCTTCTTTGAATATAACAGTCCGCTTTCATCACGTTTGTAGTAGGCTTTAGGTCTGGAATACGATGAATCAGTTCATTATTCACTTAGTATCACATTATTTACATTTCCGCAAATAATATTTACCTGAGATCATTGACTTTACGTAAAAATCTATTAAAACTACGTTCTCTATTATTCATTCTATTAATGATATGTGGTCTTTTATAACTCTTTCTAGAATTATAACCGGTGCGTATACTTTCACCCAGTTTCCTGAATTTCTTGTTGATCCATTGTCCGGAGCGTTTCATAAAATTCTCATTATCTACCGAATGTTTATTCCTAGCTTCGTTATCTAAATAGTCTATTTTAACTCCATATTCATCGTCATAGATATCATTCCAGAAAATTAGATTACTATCAGCACTTCTTTTGACAACTGTACGATTTACTTTATCCTCATGTGGTGAAGTTGAGTTGGAATTTGTGGTATTTTCGTGTTTAACTATTGTTGTTTGATTTGCTGGCGGTAGTTTTGTTGGTAATCCTGCAATGAGACTTTGAATCATTTTGATTAGCAGCAATGTAATTTGCTCAACTTATAATTTTCAGTATAGACTATGGGAGTTCAAAGTGTGAAATCTAAATACAATCAATGATACGGCTACGTAAGGCTTTTGATAATGATATTGGGATACAAATTTATTACCTTTATTTTCTTTATTACTTTCTTTATTTTTTCCCTCGGTTTTATCACTTTTCGTGTTATTTGTGACAGTTGTCAACGTGGTGTTTCCATTTTTCTCTTCAATAGACATGAGCACTCTAGATCTATGGCCGATGTTTTCAATCATATCCGCGTCGTACATTGGATACATGAAGTCTTTTGTAACATTTTCTGGTTTAAATGTTGATGTATTCAATGTTGTAAAGCTTAGTCTGAAAGTATTACGTACTGATAGGTTAAGGTTAAAAATGAAGGCATTGAAATGTTAAACTGACCAAGACTTTATTAATTTAAATTTCTTAAATCATAAACTTGAAATTTGTTTTTGGAAAATGGTATTTACTTGAAAACTGATAATTCGTGTGTTAAGTTACATAATACTTACTTAGTTGTTGTGGAATTATCTTTAAATTCACCAGACAATTTAGCTAGAGTTAGAAACCAATCGGAAAATACACGTAAAATTTCACCAGGGCCTTCAACACTACTATTATTACTGAAGCTTGTATTATTAACTTCTGCATTAGGTACGAATTGTCGGTTATTGTTTAAATCTAATGCATCTTTAATTTCTTCAGCTTCTATCGATTTTAATGATCGGATTTTTCTAAATAAAGATGGATCCGAGCGATGTATCTGAGTTTCGTTGACATTTTTCTCCATATTTCTTAACTCTTTAAGTTCAGATGATATCTTAACCTTGGGAAAGAATTCGTTCACTTCTGGTCCAAAATCGTTAATTTTTAAAGCATTTCTTGATGTTGTCATGTTATTCGATACAAATGGATATTTTACATCTTGATTGTTAAGTTCGTCTGGAAATATTGTACAAATGCTTTAGTTAATTTGATATTATGTTTACAGTGGGTACTGTCAAAAATGTAATACTGTAACAAACATTCACTGCAGCCCAGTTGTTCTACGTACAAAAATAGATGGCGCCACCTGTATTTTAAAACATGATGTTGTATTGCATGTGCCTTAGGTTAAGTACATTAAGTAAGTACATTACGCAAATGAGAAGTAAAAGAGGGAAAACAATTACTGCTGTCTTCTCCAGTTAGTTCCTACGACACGATTCTGAGTATATTAGCTTGCTGTCTTGTGACTACTTTTACTCAGAATGTCACTAGTAGTGTCGCTGAATTAGGTTGCTTGCGGTAGTGACGGCCTAATTCAGCAGATAACCGCTTGCTGTTCTGTGACGGTTACCCGGTATTTGAACATTTTTTGTATCTGCGCGTGGTTCCAACCCGGGGTCCGCGAGCAGACCAACCACATTGGTGTAATAACCAATAAACGACTGTTTTTGCCACCCTGCTGTGTTTTCTTTGGCTGATTCGGCTTTCGATACCCCTGCTCTTCTCATAATACTTATATTTTTATTTATGTTTGTCAGACAAAAATTCTATGTTTATTAGTGTTGTGTATCAAAATTTTAAGGCTTTTTTTTTATTAAGTTTAAAACTACTTATTATTATAAAAACATTAAATACCTACGCATTTGTGCGCTTCTTCGCTTTTTAATTAAATTAGGTTTTAAATTGTTCTCCTTTTCAGTAGAACTCTTTGGAAATTCATGATGTAAAATATTTTCTGTCGGTAAGTTCATTTCATTCGTTACATAATCTTTTTTTGCTGCCAGTACACCATAATCACTATACGCTTGAGCTAATTTTGAGTATTTATTATTTAAATATTCCTCTACGTAATCTGTGTCAGTATTTTTAACTTTATCTTTAGGATCTAGGAATCCTTTTTCAAATTCACTATCAGCTCTTGAAGATCCCGTATTTTTTATTAGTAGATTTAATTCATCAGGATATAATTGCATCGGACTTTTCCAATTCGGATTATGTACTAACGAGATATCGTATTTATCCGAGAAAGATCGTTTTCCAGAAATCACGGAATTCTGAAAAAGAAATTTAGGTTAACTATTACCATCTGTATCATTCCCTTGGAATAAAACAGAGATAGCAATTGTATATATGAGTTCTGGGAGACTTACATCAGATCTTCTGTCCCTTTCGACTTGTTTATCTGTCTCATCATGAGTGTCAGTATAATCTGCGAGAACTTCTTTAAAGTCTTCATAAGCAAGATTGTCTTCATCTTCCTCGTTTAGTTGTAATAGTTTACGTCTATTTACTGATAACTCGTCGCTGTTCTTTGAAACTCTGTTTTCTTCGGTACTGTCGGCATTACTAAAACAAACTCTGCATTATATCTATCAGACTAATACGAGAGATTCGTTACAATCTTTAACAAGCTTTTAAGAATCTCCGTTTTATTCTTTTTTGGTATCTATAGTCTCCGGTATTGCATGTCTATGTATTTTGTTGATAAGTTTTGCCAATTTCTCTTAAAAAACTTTTTATCTTAAACTAATAGTAATATTTTTAATACATACATAAATGTTGATACGCTTAACACAACCCCATATTTTTGTGTTGTCGATGGAAAGAAAAGTTCATCGGTTTCCTCGTCATTTATATGTGCAGCTTCTTTTTCAATGTAACTCGGATTTCCTTCTGCTAAACCATTTCTTCTTTTAACGCCCATCAGCTTAACAGAGTCGTCAGATTTAGGTGGATATGAAATTTGTTTTTGTGGTTCTTCTTCTGTTTTTGTCACCACATCCGGTTCGTCCTTCGAATGTTTGCATTTATCCTTCTCACTATTCCAGAGATCTAAGTTAAATGGATTCGCTACAACCTTATCCAAGTTATGTTCCAACATTTGACCCAATAGTTCGTCCAACCGTTGTGAGTTCTTATAGAAAGGATGTTTCAATTGTTTCTCGTGTGATTTCGAGTCTTTCAACATATGGGAGCATTTTGGAAAATTCCGTTTCCTATCGAATGGTCCATACTGTACCATTAGTTTTTTGTTTTCTATTACTATACCTGATGGTTGATTATTGTAAGGGTCGTCATCAGCCTTTTTAAATCTTGGTTTCTGATTAGCGAATGCAGAATCTTTAACAGCAACAAACGGTGGGTAGAATAAATTGAATTTACTCAAGTCTACTTTAGTGTCGATAGGTATCCTTTGGCTGTCAGTATTTATTGGAGTATCTATCGACATGAGCGACCTCTTGTATCTATCAGGTAGAGGTTTTGTTATGATGTCGCTTGCTTCGTCTGTTTGCTGTTTCAATTTTCTTATGCGAGCATCTGTTTGAATTAGACGCTTATAGAAATCTGTAATTTGAGGAATAATGTAGAATTGCTAAGCCTTAAGACATCCAGAGTATACTCGTATATTATAGTCTCATTTACAACACAGCAAAAGATCAGCTAATATAACACTTGATGCGCTACTAATTCTCACCTCGTAGCTTCTCACTTGTTGGTCCATCAAAGAATTTATCAGCCTCCAGAATCTGAGATATTGTTCCACTAACTTTGTTGTAGGACTCATCGTTGTAAGTCTGGAAGTAATAAATAATATCTAGTAGCAGGCTTAAAATAGACAAAAAGAGACACTAAGATATTAGACAGCTGGCTACCAACATGTGGCTTTTGAAGTAACAAACCATTTATATCCCAGACATGTAAACCAAACACTGCAAACACTATTTGCAATACTATAAGATGGTTGAAAATTCAAAGTAATTCCTACTTAAAATAAAAGACTTAACATAGATATAATAAACAATGGTCCAAGAGTGCCATTAGCTCGGTGCTTAAAAGGCCCATTTTGTCGCCATTCTTGTATATTAACCCTTCACAATAAATATGTCCTGAGTGGTTATTTAAAAGTCCCCAGGTGGGTCTGAACGGCCCGCGAAAATTATATTCTCATTTTACTGTTAAATAATTACTTGTTTTAATTTCAACGGAAAAGTTACTTCCACTTGATTACTTTTTAATACAGTTCTTTAGTATTTCTTAGGAGTACCGAATATTATAAGACAAGCTGTTTTTATGATTTTTTTTTTATAACATAAGGTGGCAAACGAGCAAGCGGCCACCTGAATCCGCCAAAATGGCGAAGCGACCGCTGCCCATAGACATCCGCAATTGCAGATGCGTTGCCTACCCTTATCCGACAGAGGAGGAGACGCACATAAAGACGACATTTCCCCTTCTTATGCATCTCCTCTCCCGTCAAATCCTTTTCCCGTTCCCATCCTCTCCTTATAAGAAAAGGGTGGTAAAGAGAAAGGGACTTAAATTAGGCATCCGGCACCACACTCATCAGACGAAACACGGAATTGCTTCCATTTCACGCCTGTCTTCTGTGTGGTCGTGGTATTACACCGGGCGTGCCGGCCCATTCGTGCTAAGATGTTAAAGCGGGCACTACCACGGTAGAAATGATGAAAGACCTTTGTAATCGTCCCTAGTAGTTTTTGAGTTACTTCAAGACATAAATACAAGTCTTTCCTTTATAGATTCCTACGTCTTCCTTTTATCCTTTTGAGGGGAGGGGGTTGGCACAATATATAATATCCTCTATTTTAATTAAATTCCATTCTTGGACTACAAAATTGCTTCTAAACTCATAAATAACAAATGACGTAGCCCTTACAATAAACGGACTGGTCAAACCAATATTTAAAGTCTAATAATTTAACTACTTAGTATAAACTTTATTATAACGTCTAAATAATACGACATTCGATCGCAAGAGAACTCACAAACGTTGACCCGAAACTTCGACAATAAAGTCGAGCAAACACATCGATACGGTATGAACAAGACGTTTTGCTTAAGGCGATGCTATCTCATATAAAGAAACAGCATTTGTATTTTTGTATCTAAGTAGTAAGTTCAAAAACTAATGAACTGATTAACATAATTATTTTGAAAGCTACATTATTACAGAGTAATATAGACTATGCTTATTATTACATTTTTAATTCCGTTCTCACGAACTTAAGGAACAAACTAGTCACCTAACATTTTACACAGCTTTATTAATAGCTAATATTGTTTCCTTCATTTTAAGGAAACCATTTATTTTCATGCAACTAGTAAACATAATTCTCCAAATATTGAAAAATTAAGATGTATACATACTTCCTTTTAATAATTGAAGTAAAACATTTCTATAATTCGTCTTCGCCTTAACACAACGCGAAATTAAGCCGTCGTTAATAACATGTGACGTACGTAGAGCATTAAATTGTTTATCGTCTCGCTCTCGCACAACGAGTTAGAAAGAGACAGACGAGAATTGCGGAAACAAATTGGCGAATATGCAAGTATTAAACATTTCAAAATGTAACGTTATCGATTCACCGGAATTATTAATTAACAGATTTGAAAATTGCATTAGTATGTAACGAAAAAACTCAAAAACTATTCAACCGATTTTAAAAATTCTTTCAACACTAAAAAACTACATTATCACAAAGTAACATAGGCTATATTTACTTGATATTTTTTCCAAAATTCGGAAAAATAACTCTTAATGTAACGTCTTTATAGACGTTAAAACAAACATCTTTTTCAACTAAAATATTACCAGAAAAAGTTTCTACTATAACGCAATTAAAAAATAAATTAAACTGCAATAAATATCGAGCCGGATATTAAGCCACCTGTACCCCCTCCCCTTTCCGTCACACCCCTACCACCTGTACTCAAACTGCGCCACGATATTTATGAATACAAGATCGCAATCCTGTTTCTAATTGAGTTTTCACTAGTGACGGACGACATTTAATCTACCATTGAACGTGCAACATTAGATTTATAGTTGCAGCTAAAAATCATGTATTGTGCGCACCTCCATATAAGTTCATAGCAATCGAAGCGAGACTACGAGTATAGTGTGTCTAAATAATTTAGATTAGTTTGACAATTCATTTTAAATTTAGTAGGGATGGTTATTGATAGTCATGAATCTTATCGATTTTCGATTTTTATTCTTTTAGAAGTTGGAATCGATAGATTTATAGTTAAAACTTATGAATTTAAAAAAACCACTGTTTTCTCAAATTAATAATGACCATAACAAATAATGAGAGTAAATAAATGTTTATTACTACTACAGTCCTACGTAATCGAATTGGATTTCGCTATTATTTCTGTCATCGCTAAATCCTCTACACTATAATCAATAATAGAATTGTCCTCTAAATTAGTTAATGAGAAAATAATAATTTTAGTTGAGTTCGAAGATTATTTAAATCGAATATCGATAGTTCAAAATTGTTCGCTGCGTGTTTCGTCACTACGATACATGTCTATTAAGTATGGCATTTGCCTTCATACAAAATAAATTCGATACTTCATATGCGTCATTTATCATACTAATCTAATTTATTTAGACAAACTATAATGTAATAAAAAGAAGGAAGATGGCTATCAATATATTTTTTGATTTCTACGAGTCACCTTATTTATGTTTATTTAAGTTTTGTAATACATTTTATTGTGAAGTTTTCTAGTTAAAATGTTTAGAGGACCAACTATAGTGTGAGGCGAGAGATAATAAAAAGCAAAATTAATGTAAATTTAAAGAGCTCTATCAACAAGTATTCAGAAAAGTATTTGTACATAAATACAACGTCTGGCCGCCAAAAAGCCATTCTCTACCGTTTTCATCATAATGTTATAGTCCAAGAGCCATTTACAGGCACACGTTAGTGATTTCAAAAAATATCAATGTTAAAGAACTAAAATATTATTAAACATTTTATTTTAATAACCTATTTTTTTGTAGATTAATAAACTTTTTAAAACAAAATATAAAAAGTCGTGTACTTTCTGTACATTCATTAGGATTATTAAAATATTTTTTGTGAAGAAAAAACTAAATAGACTTAATCAAGCCAAAATGGAAGTAATTAAAGACATTTTCTACATTTATCTGTGGTTAAGATTTTTCATAACATTTTTAATCTGTGGTAACGCAGACCACAAATGAGGGACTTTGCGAGATTTTTTTAATAAACTTGCTTTACTTTATAAATCTCATAGCTCGTTTTAATCTTAAATGATACGAAATAGCGAGCAAAGTACAGATGTAAACATTAGGGGGCTTGAAAGTTGCTGAGGATTTACGTATTAAATTTTGCCGACCCTACTAACCTTTAAATTTATACCTTGCTTAATCACACAGAATATTTGAATCAATATTATTGCAATTTAGTATAAATAATTTGATATATAGGTGTATTAGTTTACTTTATTAATACTAGCTTTAGCTCGCGACTTGTCGTGAAAATATAGCATACTCGGCGATAACGTAGCTTTCTAATGGTGAAAGATTTTTTGAAATCGGCCCAGTAGATTTTGAGTTATTTCAATACTAGAGAAATACAAATCTTTCCTCTTTATATTAGTACTAGCTTTCGCCTGCGACTCCCTCCGCGTGGGATTAAAAAAAAACAAAAGTAAGTAGCCTATGTATTCTTCCAGACTATGCTATACATCTGTGCCAAATTTCATTCAGATCAGTTTAGTCGTTTAGACTACAAACTCAAACAAACATCCATCCATCTATCCATCCATCCATCCATCTAAACTTTCGCAATTATAATATTAGTATGAAATATGATAGATATAGATTACTATTGTCAATACTTTCAATATACAGGGTGTCAGTAAAGATAAGATCGTCCACCAAAATACAGGGAGTATTCCCTCTCTTGCGTTTCTTGCTCCGGGAACTGCAATGCGACGTTGAAGAGTATCTTTCTAGGGAAAAGGGTACCATTTCTTGAACAACGTAGCCATAAGCATAAGACAAATTTCCATACTAAAATCAACAGTTGCAAAACCACTGCAGAAATAAATACCCGAGCTCTTAGCTAATAATGGATTGTCCCGGCTGCTGCCTCTGGCGAATGAAAGTTGAACTTTTCAATGGACAAACATTTTTTATACCTCGTCAGACCCTTTGTGTATTGTTATTGTGATAGTCTGCGACTGCATTTAGCGGCCATCGTCTGGTTTTATCGGTACGAATACAATTTCCAAGTCTGATGTACTAATGTATGCAGTTATTGTGATGACTAAGTAATAAGTTGCTAAGGGCTTTTAGACATAAGAGAATATCTCTATTGTTGGAGACATGACTGATTATGTCTGTTAATGGATCAAGTAATTTTTATAGAGTTGAATTCATTTACTACAAAATTGAATATAGGATTGTGTTAAGGAGTGCAAAGTTATGGAGGGATCGAAAACTATTATATATTTCACACGTGTAATTTTTTACATGTTGACCAGCGGCTAAAATATCGACCGCGTCTAGTGATGTACATTTCCAGATGCGTTATCCTTTACCAGACAGAGGAAAGGACAAAAGGACGGTGTAAATATTATGTTTCTAATACCTTTGCGGCCATTTCCTTTCATGTAGTAAAAGGATGGAACATTTCTTGAGATATTAGTTGCATCAGACGTTTGAATTTGATTTGAAACTATTCGAATACAGTAACATTTTTAACTGGAAAATCCGTATAAACAGCTCGTTTACTTATAGCTTACTGGGATATAATCAAGGCGTCGTCTACGTCTGCCTTACAAAGCACCGTCCGTCTGGGGCGTCCAGAACAATGGGGTCCCGCGGGCGACGGCAATGCCGGATTAAAAAACATAACGCAACGTAAAACACGGTGAGATTCGGATGGTTTCCGTCTCGTACGGTCGCTTGGAGAAAGTCGAAAGGAAACACAAATTGGCTCCGAATAGACATTTGTTAATAATCCTTGAAACGTGCGAAAATCTATTGTTTAAACTCTTCTTATTGGAATTCAAAACTGAAGGAAGCGATAATGAGACTGGAAGAGGGAAATAACGGTCGTTATTGCAATTTCACATTTATTTCTAGAGAAACATTGGATACGTATTCCCATTAATTTGCAAATAACAAGTATAAACTATTATTAAAATCAACGCCATCTAGTTAAAAATAAACACAAATACATGTAATCTTTAGATTTCTAATTTCGTAAATTAATCTTTTTTAATTTTGATTAAAATTGCTGACGCTGACGGAGAAAGATTTTTCTCCGTCAGCGTGAAATTTTAAAAAATATGTAGCCTATGTGTTCTTCCAGACTATCCTCTACATCTATGCCAAATCATCGAGATTCATTCAGCCGTTTAGGCTACAAACTCTAACAAACATCCATCCATCTAAACTTTCACATTTATAACATTAGTAAGACAACTGTTTCGAAAGTAAGCGATACTAAACATTTTTACAACGTCCCAAATAAGTCCGTAGATAAAAGCTGTTACAACTTATAATCATGATAGATTTTGTACCTCTCTCGAGATACATAAAGAATCTATCAAATAAATCTCATGTCGCGGTGCGGGTAGAAACAAAAAAAGAGTTGTTCGCGTCGCTTTGTGGGCTACAAATCACTTAATGCCCTCCTGTACCGAATAAATACCTTCTTAAGACGCCCGAGCCAAGATATGATTTGTAACTGGTCGCACCCTTGTTGTATACAGCGTGTTTCTTTTCTAGACTTTACTTAGAACAATATTTGAATAATGCTTGTCATATGATGGTGTAAAGTGTAATTGTAACACTGTTATATTTTGAGGAATCGAAGCATCGTAGCAAGATTGGCCTCCCTTTATGTCTAGTGCCCTGGACGCGCCTTATCCTAATTGTATATCTAGTTATACTAATATTACAAAGAGGTTGATTTGTATTTTTTTATTTTTAGATTTTTGTATGTATTTGTTTCACGTAAAAACTACTGGGCCGATTTTAAAAACTCTTTCACCATTAGAAAGGTTATTTATCTGTAAGTAACATAGGCTATATTTTGTATTTTTCTCTAATTTTACGCGGGCGAAGTCACGAGCAACAGCTAGTATAACTGACATTACAAAGAAGAAAGATTTTTATTATTGTATGTATTGAAATAACTCAAAAACTACTAAGCCCATTTGAAAAAATTTTACGATACGATATCCGTGAGTACCATAGACTATGTATTTCTTAAGTTCACGCAGGCGCAGTCGCGAGCAAAAGCTATTTAACCACAGATATTTTGCTATCAAATTATTTTAGAACACGCTTTATATACCAAAGAAGTTTCCACCAATTGACTTCCATTACACCTTGATCATAATATATTAATATTTATCGTTTACGAGAGGGCTCTACATCTAAACCTACAGAATGCTATTGAAAACCTATCTATGTAAATAGATAGCTCTTATTTCATTCAACATAAGGTTTAAAATTGAATAGCAATAGAGAATTCGACGCATATCAATTTTGTTTTTTTAAAACCTTTAGCATACACAGTCGCTTTTGCAGGGATCTTTCTAAGTTATGGATCTTTGGGGTAAATTGTTTTATACTTTTGGTATACGAACTATCAAATTTTAGTTATTTATATATACAATACGGTTTCCAAAACCTAACAGTATAAAAACCAAAGGGCTAACAATGTTTTCAGTTCTAACGGCAGTGAAAACCCACGGCTAATAAAAGAAAAGACATGTTGCAAAACTTGTAGACACTTCAGAGTCGCTCGCCATGTAATACATCACGTTCAAAACAATGCCGTTAGGGGACCGGCAGATATAATACAAATGCAACAATATCGCGCGGGAAAGAGAAAGCACTATCACTGTCATACTATGGGCGTCCAAAATACAGTCAGGTAGAAAAGTAACTAATATTTTTTAATAATTAATTGTTGTAGATCTTTGACTCAACATTGGAAATCAGTGCTGTAACCATTAATACAAAAAATTATTTATTATAGTGATATTACAAAATAAATATCAACAAATTCCTATACAATAAGCTCTTAAAGTGTTTGGAATATTAAAGGTAACGATGTCACCTACATCATAGAAAACAAAGAAAACCTTAAGCAAGATGGAGTGATATTTTAAATAAAGAGGTCATGCATACACTTCCGCACTGTTATGGATATTTATCTTACTAAAATTTAGATGGATGGATGTTTGTTTACCACCTAAACGGCAGAATGGATCTCGATGAAATATTGCATAGATATAGAGCAAAATCTAGAAGAAGACATAGGCTACTTATTTTTGTTCTTTAATTCTAACGTAATCGCAGGCGAAATCTAGTCAAGAAATATTACGCAAAGGTTACATCTTCCTGCATGACTGTACAGTGCTGTCGCGGTTTGCAACGTGTCCCGCGTAATCCGACTCTTTGTCGTTGAGGGAGTGATAAAGTTACTTCTAAAACTCGAAGTTCTCATAACAATAGGTTTCAATAAATGATAATTATTTTTGACTCACAATATAAATATCTGGTGAGATAATGTATATAGGATCACATTCTTTTGTTTTAAAAATAGAAGTGTTTAAAAAAAATTGAAAAATAGATTCTTGATATGTCTATTCAAATATGATACGAATCATACTTTATTTTTAATATTATAAATGCGAAAGTTTAGATGTATGGATGTTTGTTAGAGTTTGTAGCTTAAACGACTGAATGGATTTCGATTAAATTTATTTATAGACGTAGAGGATAGTCTGGAAGAACACGCTTTTGTTTTTTTTTCTAATTCCGCGCGTACGGAATCGCAGGCGAAAGCTAGTATAATATAAATTGATTTAAAAATACAATAAATATTTTACCTATGTTGTAAAAGCTAGCAAAAGGTAACAACACCACTATGTGTGGTATACGCGAATGAAGATACAGGTTACGTTCGAGAATCGAGTTCAATTCGAGAACTCGTAGTTATTAGAGCTGATTGATAAAAATGATTCCCCGTGCAGTGAATCAAAGGGTTTATGTGTCGGCGGAGACAAGCCGCAAGCG